TTCCAAGATTCGAATCTGAAATTTCAAAGACTCAAATCTGGAATTTCAAAGATTCAGATTAAAAATTTCAAAGACTCAAGTCTGAAATTTCAAAGATTCAACTCTGAAATTTCCAAGATACTTCAATTTCTGAAATAGCCAAATATTACACACATGCATATGCTCTATTTACGCAGATTAAGTTGGTGAACATAAACTCGTCGGACCTGGTTGACGGACGACCGCCCGTCGTGTTGGGCCTGATATGGACTATCATCCTGTACTTCCAGGTAGACGCTGTTCCGTTCGTACAGTCGAATAAGATCGAAGCTAAGCAAAAAAAAAAAAAAAAAAAAAAAAAAAAGAAAGAAAGCGCACTTATAACTAGAATGCGGTAGTTGCTTAAATACGAAGCTCGTGGCCACATGTAACATCGAATTACATAAACGCGTTACGATATACGGCGCGACAGCACTGCGACGATCGTTTGCAGCGGGGATTAATTTGCCGGTGTGTTTACGCAGTAAAATTTCATGGCAATTTTCATTTCTTTCCACCGAATAATCCTCCGATTATTTTCTCCTTTTCTCTTATGTTGTTTCTTTTCTCTCGAAAAGGGATCGTAATTCGATTTTATCCCTTCGGCACTCTCCCAACTGCTATAACGAACAAAAAAAAATTAATCCTCGTTAAGGGCGAAGTAAGAATTTACATTCCATTCTGCTAACCGTATTTATTCCACAAAAACAAGCTACGATCGAAGGATCGAAAGAAGGTGAGTAGCTATTAACAAAAAAGACTGAAACCAAAAATGCAAAAGTAAATCAAACAAAACGATTATCGTCTGACACGGTACGATGACGTTGATGAGAACAGTAAATCTGTAGAGAACATTTTTTCTGTGTGTACAGAGGATAATAACGAAAGAATTAGCACGCACCTACATGATCTTACGCATCACCTATAGTATGCACGCTAGTCCTTCCTTCTGTGAATCTTTCATGTCCCCCCACACAACCCCTTACAGTGTCACTGCCGGAATTCCCTTTTCCACGATCCATTCATCGTATGTTCTTTTAGATCGAGGAGAACACCAGAGCTTTGGAGTATCTTGGACATACGTGGGGCAGCCAGAGCAGCTTGGAGAGTCTCAGCACCCAAGGCTCGGCGACCAGCGAGAGGAAACGTATCAGCAGTGAGAAATGGAAGCAGGGAGCGAGGAAGACTCTGTTGCAATGGGTCGCCAATGCTCTGCCAAAGTAAGTAATTCACAATTTAGAGTAATTGTTGTGGGATCGAGACCTCCATACCGAATGATCCCTAATAAGGAGCATCAACGAAGAAGAATAGAGAAGGTGTTATTGGCGTAGCGCATAGAGTCTCGTCCTGCTAATCCGAAGGTCGTGGGTTCGAATCTCGGTTGAGGTCCTTCGTTTTTTAATATTGTTATCTTGAAATACAATTAATTGGAAGGCTTTGTGAAAGTATTTACGATATATTTGAAAATTTTAATTCAACCAATGCCGTTGAACTAACAATAAGCACCGTTTGAATTCAGTCGATCAAATTCTCGAGTTACTCAAATGTAAATGTGGAAATTGAGCCAATTGAATGAAAATTATTCAAATTCAGCTGGATCAAATTTGAAATGTTCCAATTCAAACATTCGGACTGTGAATCAACGAAATTGGTTGGAATCTTCATGAAAGTGGAAAGTTTAATTCTTTCCCTGAAGAATTGAACAAAATTGGACGTGATTCTGCACAGGGATATACAAGTGCGCGACTTCGGCGAGAGTTGGCGCGATGGCAACGCGTTCCTCGCCATCATCGATGCGATCAAGGCGAACCTGGTGAACATCGCGGCCATGAGGGAGGCGACGAACAGAGCTCGCCTAACGACAGCGTTCAACGTAGCCGAATCAGAACTCGGTATCGCGAAACTCCTCGATCCAGAGGACGTGGACGTTCCTCAGCCTGACGAGAAATCGATAATGACTTACGTCGCTCAATTCCTCCACAAATATCCGGAACCAGGATCAGCAGCTTCCGATTCGTTCGCTGCTGTTCAAAAAGAATACGACGCGTTGCTCAGCTGGCTCTACGAGAGATTGAATTATTTGGAACAGATGGGCAACTTCCCGGCCAATTACCATGTATGTTTTTCAAGAGTCTAGGATTTGTTTGAATACGAAGGAAGGGGAGTGATTTTAATGCTCGGTTATGTTTGAACTCTCTCTATCTCTGTTCGCATAGGAGTACGCACCTTTGAAAGCGGAATTGGAGCAACAGAGGATTGTGTATAACAAGCTGGAGCGCCTTGTGGAGACACCTAGCATGATAAGTATCACGATGGACTCTTGGAGGCACGTGCAGAACTTGTGGAAAACCTTGGAGATGCACGTAAGTTGAAATTCTCGAGGATTTCCCTTCTCAGGTTTCTCAAAGTTTCGAAATTCTCAAGTTTCAGAGATGAGAAATTAGAAAATTACGAAAATTGAAAATTACTTGCAAATTCATAAAATATTGACACAGTACAAAAGAAATTGTGAAAAAAATTGACACAAAGCCGTGTCCTTGGCGAAACGTTGGGGAAATAATTCCACGCCTTAGACCCGAAAGCCTCAAGAGTAAGAACTGTACGACAAATCCCCCCAAAATTCACAGTTGATTCAGTATCACTGCACGCTGTGAAAAAAGTATTTTCATTTGAATTTTTCAGATGTTACACTGGCTATGGCTGCTGGACTCCTTTTTACCAGGTGAATTAGGCGTGGTGGGCAGATGGCTACGTCACGCCGAGGAGATGTTGCTCTCCGACACGGTGATACCGGAAGAAATGACAGAGGAGACAGCTAACATAATCTCTAACAAACTTGAGGAGCACAAGAAGTTCTTCCTCGATCTTCCGTCCATGACGGAGCGGTTCCATGCGGCGAAGAATTCTGAGATCGCGCTACAAGTGCATCCTCAACAACTGAACGAAATGGCAGCTAGATTGGAGAGTCTGCCTGATCGAGCCGCGAAACGTAGAATTCGATTAAAGTTCCTGGAGCACAAGTGTTGCCTTATTGCTTTCTTGTTCCTAGTCGAGACGAAGCTGAAGGGTTGGAGCGTGAAATATGGCACCGAGGAGAGTGTTCACCAGATGCTCGAGCAGTATAGGAATTTCGTATCTCGAAACAGAATTTTCCAGGAGTTCCAGAAGGCCTACCTGGATATGCAGCAAGTAGTCGATGACTATAAACGCGAGGGCAACGTTGGTGAGTGGATACATCTCTCCTTTCTCCAACCTTAACCTTTTGACAGATTATCCCGTGTGAGACCCGGGCAAAGAGTCAGATATTTAACTGTTTAACTCAAGAGACACTCTTATTGACATATCTCATATTATTGTCATAATAATGTTTCAAAAATGATCATACCCGACGTAATTATTTAAAAAAAAATACGTGTGAAATATAAATTTTTCTCACCGTCATTCATAATTTTATTAGACTGTCAAAGAGTTAAGCAGTTCAAGAGTTAGAGAGAGGGTGAAGAAACGATCAGAAAGTTGTATGTCAGAAAATAATTGTATTAGTCTTTCACTTGGAATCATAAATGAAACATTCTTGAAAATTAGAAATTAACGTCCATTTTTCTCTGTCCGTTACGTGCAAAGTATGCTAGAAGAAGTTGTGGCCTATTGGCGTCGCTGGAACGTCATCTCCGACGAGTTCGAAGCCTGGTTGATTCGAGCTGAACCTGCCTTGAACCTTCCCGAAGAAGAAAAGATGGAGTTCTTCCAGGATATAAGCGTGTGGAAGGACAAACACCAGCAACTATCCGACACCGTGACATTCTTGATTGCAACATCCGACGAACCAGTTGCTCTACAATTGAAGCAACGTTACACGAACCTAACGACCAAATGGGAGATTCTATTCCAAGAAGCTAAACAGTACATGCACGCCGGTGACGTGATAAGAAACAGAAAGGACTACAGAGCAGGCGTGGAAAACCTGCAGAAATGGCTGAGAAACGTCGAATCAGCTCTGTCGGCCACCGACTTAACCACCACTGAGAAGATCAAAGCCTACGGCGAGAAGCTTCAAGTGTTCCACAACGAAGTGGAAGGAATCGAGGATCTCTTCAAGAGTATCAGCAAGAAATTCCAAACCCTGATACAAGATCTATCGCGAGACGAAGTGGACAAGATGATGAACACCTTGAAGAAAGAGAAAGAAGCTCTGGTTAAAGTCAGAGCTCTGATACCGATGCAACTTCACCTGTACCATCAGCTACTCGTTCAGCAAGAGTCTCTGGAGGCTGGACAGAAGGAGATAGCTGCTTGGTTGGACGAAGCAGAGAAGATGTTGAGTCACACCGACCTGTCAGGTGGCAGAGAGCACATTCTAGCTCAGTTGGAACGTCACAAGGCCTTCTTCTCCAGAACACTCTACTACAAATCCATGCTGGAGTCCAAGAACAAAGTGTTCACGAGTATAGTCAAGTCTGTGGACAGTCACGCCGATGTGAGCACAGCGGAAGGTGGCAAAACGTTGAGAGAATTGAACGACAGATTCAACCGAGTGTCTCAGGCAGCTCAAGCCTGCGAGCAACGACTTCAAGAAGCGCTGAAATGTTGGGGCAAGTTCAAAGACAGCGAGAGACAGATCTGCGAATGGTTGTCGGTCGCGGAGACGATGATGAGCGACAAACACATCGACAACAAACGATCCATAGAGTATCACAAGAATTTCTTCAGCAACGTGAACGAGAAATGGATTCAGGAGTTCGTGAACGCTGGTCAAGACTTGAAGAACATTCTACCTATAGAGAGGCAAGCTCCGATCGTCGAGGCTGTCGAAGCTTTGCAGAAACGTTGGAAAGAGGTGTTGACGTTCGCTCCTCTTCACCTGATGAGACTCGAGTTCCGTCTGGACGAGACCACGTTCCTGCAGTATCTGAAGGAGATCGAGATGGAGATCAACTCGGAGCAACAGGCTCTGATGAAGAACGACAACGTGGAGAGCATACTGCAGAGGAACAAGGAGTTCTTCGTGAATCGTGGCACCGTTATCAAGGTGGAGAAGTGCCTGCAGACCCTGAAGAGGATCAGCCACGCTTACAGCCAGATGAAACCAGGTGACAGCAGCTTGGTCGAGGCTGCTCAGAACGCCGAACATCTATGGGAGGATTCTGCTCAGAGAGTGGAACATCTGAGGGAACAATTGAAACAAGTGCCTGAGCAATGGGCTGCCTACAAGAAGAAGTGAGTATATTCTGAAGTATTTTCTTTTTTTCTTTTTTTTATTTCAACGTTACTGCAAATTTCTCTTGACAGTCGTGTAGTATCGGGGCCTACATACCCAAATACGAAACTAACCAGGGAAAATTGAGAGGGGGTAGTTGGCGTAGTGCGCAAAGCCTCGGCTTGCTAAGCCGAAGGTCCCGGGTTCGATTCCCGTTGAGTCCCTCAAATTTTTTCGTCGATTCCTACAATTGTTTATTTACTAACTTTTAATTATTACAAAAGGATGATGATAAATAATATCAGATATAGTGAAAAACGCACTTTCAAAAAAGAAAAAGGTCTCCGCTGAACCGGTTGGATCATCGACTACACTCGTTAATCGATGGCGCACATATGGAAAAATATAAAATAAGAAGAACGCCTAAACGATAAACGAGCTCGTGGAATATCCATCGAACGGTAATTCTTTGCATTCAGATTCGACGAGATGGTGCGATGGATGGACCACGTGGACAGCAATCTGAGAACGATATTGCACGAGGTGAACACTCTGGAGGAGTTCGAGACGGAGAAAACGATATTCCAGGTGAGTAGTGGCGTTATTCGCGGATTGGATTTGAATAAGAAAATTGAAAGGTGTTAAACGCCATTGTGACTACCACGAAGCGTACAATTACCACTTTGCCATCTCCACTCTTTGCATTTAGATATTTCTTTATATTCTGTATTTGCATTGCTCACTGTGGATAGATGCAAGTTCTAACGGTAAATATAATTGTACACGCTTTAACGTTCTGAACATTCGTTCCAACGACTACAGGACTTGCAATCTCTTTTCTATTCCTCCTCTCGTTTCTTTTGTTTTTAATCAGAAAATATGCCGAGAGGCGGACAGCAAGCGCGAAGAGATGAAGTGGTTGGTTCAAACCCTGGACAGTCTGACCTCGAATCGTTCGGACCACGAGGCTCTGTCCGAACAGAATCGTCTGGAGCAACTTATCTCCCGTTACAAGAATCTGATACCCACTATAGAGATCACCATGACGAAAACCGACATCTACTCGAAGAGTTACACCTACAGAAAGGAGGTTCGCGAAGTGTGCACCCTTCTGCGTAAAGTTCGCGACCAGTCGAAGGTCGACGTGGTGTCCGAGAGTCCGGAGACTCTGCACAGTGCTGTGACTCATCAGGAGAGTCGTCTGAGCCAATTGGAACAACAGAGACCCAGCATCGTCAGCATGTTGCAACGCGGCAAGGATCTTCTCAAGGATCAACACACTCCGCCGTTTGTATCGTTGGAGGTTCAACAACTGGAATCCAACTGGAACGACACCTATGGACAAAGTGTCGAGACGTTGAAATCCCTGAAGAGCTCGCAGAAACTGTGGAACACCTACACGGAGCAAAAAGAGGAGATCTTGAAGCTGATCGAGCAAGCTGACGAAGAATTGAGAAAAATCGAGTCGACCAGATACTACGACGCTTATCAAGTATCGTCCGATCTTCACAGCAAGCAAGATTTCTATTCTACCTTGAGGAAATCCGCAGAAGAGATGCTGAAGAAGCTGCAAGAAACGTACAGTCAGTTAACGGATATCGCACCTGCGGAAAAGAAGAAAATATTGAGAAAAGAGATCACACACACTGAGAAGAGAATGGAGACCACCCTGAAGACTGTCCACGAGAAAGTTGTCTATCTTCAAGAACACAGCACCAGGTGGAACAACTTCCAGACTAAGTTGAACGAATTGCAACTGTGGACTCAACAGAGTGCTCCGCAGTCGATTGCTGATACCGAGTATTTGACTACCACTCCTGAAGAGATGGTTCATAGAACGGAGAGATTGCAGAAGGAGGTCCGTGAGAGGAGTAAGACCCTCAAGTTCCTCGAAGAGGAGTCGCAGAAACTCGTACAAGGTAAATTACAGTGAAACTTAACACGTTGACTGGTCACCTGTGACCTGACCTGAGATTGCCTCGAATATTTAGAATAATTAAAATAAAATTAATATGAATTTAAAGAAAAATAATGAGAAGCACACTAGAGGGACGGACTAACCGCGAGTTCTCGCTAGTCCTCGTAAAAGCTCCTATTTGTATATATACAACTTCTGACCTGAGTCCTTCTAGTCCCTCCCGCGTCTAAGAAAAGCCTTGGAAAACCTTACCGACGAGTGCAGTAGGAGAAAAAACCAGGAGAAAAAACGCCCTAACCCTTTTCGCCTATCCTCCATCAGTTTCCTAAATCTCTTCGCATAATACAATTACTATACTTAGAATTGGAAAATTTTCTTCTGGCCAAAACATGTAAATCTAGCGTGGCAATCTAGCGTTGTTTAACCTTTCGTCTATCTCCTCTAGAATATTGAATAATTTACCTTTTCCTGTTCTCTAGATGGAGACAACAGTCTTCAAGGCAGACAACTACGCAGCGAAATAATAACCCTAGAGAAAACCATCGAAACCCTGCAGAAGAGCATCGTGGTCCAACGCGAAACAGCCACGGAGAATCTGCAAACGTGGAAAGACTACGAGAAAGGAATAAAAAAAGTGAAACCTCTGATCGAAGAGGCGGAATCGAAAACAGCTACCATAGGCAGCAAACCCTCGACCCTATCTCAAGCCGTTCAGATGCTCGAGACTGCCAAATCCTTCGAGACACGACTACAACAATTATCCCCTCAAATTCAAGACTTATCTCAGATCAGCAAACGAATATCCGGCAAAACTTCAGCCTCCGACGAGGTCGACGCTATTCAGACACGTTGGAACGCCGTTCACGACACAGCCGTGCAAACGATCACTAAACTAGACAAACTTGTCACCTCGTGGAACAACTTCGAGTCCGAGATACAAGAGTTCACCGAATGGTTGGAGCAATCTGAGAGAGCGGTGCTTATCGAACCGAGCACTGAAACAGCAGCGGAAATCGAGGTGCCGGAGAAAGAACTACAACGATTGAAGGACTTCAACAAAAGTATATCCGACCATCAGGCGCAGTTAATTTCCCTAACTCAAGTTTCTGATCACATAAGTCACGGATTATCGTTGGATGGAGCGACGAATCTGAAAGCTCGCGTGTCGGACATTAAATCTCGCGTGAGCAAGCTCGCCGACACTGTGAGATTACAGATAAACAAAGTCTCCGACACTCTATTGGCTCGCCAAGAGTTCCACATGATGATCACCGACTTCGAGAACTGGATGTCGCGACTGAGGTCCAACATCACAGAGATCAGCGACGCCACAGTCGACACCGTCGACACAAACCTTCAGGCCGTGTACGCTTTCATTCAAGAGCACTCCGAGAAGCAGCCGAGTTTCGCCGCGATCTACAAAGAGGTGACAAAATTGTGCCCGAAGGAATCAGCCAAGCATGCAGCCACTCTGACCGAAACTTACGCCAACTTGGAGAAGCAGTACGAGGATCTGGAGAACGAGCTGCAGCAGAAGAAGAAGGGCTTCGAGAAGTGGATAGAGCTGTTGAGTTGGTTGAACGAAGCGAATTCTCAGATGAGTCACTGCAAGTACGAAGCAGAGGCTAGGAAACCGACTATCGCCGATTTGGAGAGATTCTCGACGGAGGTACAAGCTATACACGACAAGGTGAACGATTGGAAACACCACGTTCTGCCTGACAGCGCTTTCGGGATTCAGATCAGAGACAAGCAGGGTAAACCTCTGACCGCGTCAGGATTATTGAACGACTTAGAGAAGAAAGCTGAGACGCTTCGACACGAGATCAATTCTAAACGCGACAGGCTGGAGGATCTCGACGCGAGATTGAACAATTTCAGGACGTTGCAGCAGACTATCACGGAGAAGATACTGCACACACAGATAGCTCTTCAGGACACGGTGTACAGCGTCGACTCGTGTAAACAGTTGTCACCAGCTGTGGAGAAGATCGACGAGCTGATAGAGGAGCACCAGAAGAGGGAGCAAGAGAAGGAGATTCTTCACTTCGAGGGAAATTCGTTGATGAAAGAGGATCAGAGATCGACGACGAACATCCAAGTGGTCCTGTCGTCCGTCGACGCTAACTTGGAGAAAGTGAACGAGCTTCTGCGCGAACAGAGGAAGAAGTACGCCGACATGGACACAGATTGGAAGGCCTACGAGGAGGCTAAGCAAAAGTTGAACAAGTCTATCGAGGAAGCGAACAGCTTGTGCGAATCGGTGAAAGGAGTGCCTTATAACGTTGCTGAGTCGAACAGAAACCTCGAGGAGCACAAGAAAGCTCTGGACGTGTTGAAGAAGGGGAAGCAGTTCTTGGAGAAGATGGACTCGAAGGCGCAGCAATTGACGAAGGAGGCTTCGCTGATGCCTATATTCAAATCTGACCTAATCGAAAACGACCTGGCCGAGGTTAGACAACGGTACCAAGACGCGTGCAACGAGGTGACGGAGAAACTACAGGCTTCTGAGACTCACGCGATCATCTGGAAGCAGATCAAAGAATCCACGTCGATCACTACCTGGCTCACTAACACGCACGCTGCTCTCGATACGGCCTACGAACGATTACTCGACACGGACAGTTGCCAAGCTAGATTGACCAGGTACAGAGAAGAGTTGCCCGGTTATCAGCAGCTCTATCAGAACGTGGTCGCGAAGATGGAACAGCTGAAGAAACTGAACAACAACGAGGACATCCTGACGATGCAGACGTTGCGTAAATCGCTGCACGATCAGTTCAACTTGGTGAAATCTGCCGCGGACAAGCTGGAGTCGTTGACCTCGACGTTGAACGAGAAAGAGAGGAAGATAAGGCAAGGGATGAAGGTGTGCGGCGACGCGATCTCGAAGATTCGGGAGGACATAATCAAGTGCGACGATTTAACCGGCGAGAACACCAAGATCCTCGCTCGTATCAACAAGTGCCAGGAGCTGAAGAAAGAGCTGGAAGAGTGTAACAAATCTTTGTCGGTGGTTGGAGAAACGTTGAAGACGATGTTCACCGAGTACCCGAGCATCTCTAGAATGAGCCTGGCCAAGGAGTACGACGCCCTTCAGCTTCGAAGCGAGGGAGTCGCGAATCACGCGAACAAAGTGATAGCAACCTTGGTGGCGTTCCTGACGAAACTCTACCACGAGAAGTTCGGAGCTCTGCAGCGTATGGTGGTGACGTTGAAGGAGAAGGTGGCTTGGTGTGAGCCGGAGCAGAGCAGCGATCGTTACAACCTCGAGGTGAAAATGGCGTCGCTGATGGACGTCGAAGCTGGAATCGCGGATTGTATAGCTAGGAAAGAGGACACCGACAACTCCTTGAAGCTTCTGGCCTCTGTGGAGAGCGCTGAAACGATGGCTGCGCCGCAAGCCGAACGAGACAAGGTCGAGGCAGATCTAGAGGCCTTGAAGAGCAGCTACAGCAAGATCAAGAACGACTTGGAGCGAAATATAACTCTGTGGCAACGATACGAGCTCACCTCCGAGAACGTTTTGTCGTGGCTGAAGGAGAACGAGAATAAAATACGAGCCGAAGCGTCTGCTTTGCTGAACTTCGACGATATCGAGGAGAAAATCGAAGAGATGAGTCAGGTACAGAAGACCGTGATGGAGTACAACAGCGAGTTGAAAGAATTGACGACTCTTGCCGAAGATATCACGAAAGTGAGCTCCGAGTCTCGCGTGAACCAGTACATCACTCATCTCAACACGCGATACGACTACGTGTTGAAATTCCTGGCTCAGCATCTGGAGAAGCTCGGGGAACTGAAGGAGAACAGGGACCAGTACGTAGCGAACAAGAGGAAGCTCGAGAGTTGGATCGAAAACGCGGAGAAAACTTTGAAAGCTTTCGACGAGATCACAGGACCGAAACCTATAACCTTCTATCAATCGCGCCTGAACGAGCTAAAGGCGTTCGCCGAGGAACGAGAGGTTGGACAGGCTATACTGAACCGAACAGCCGAGGCTGGAGAGGCTCTGTTCGCCAGAATCACGCCGGATCAGAGAGAGATAATCCGAACGGAGATAAGGAATTTCCGCAATCGAGTGGACGCGATGGCAGATCGTTCGAACGTGATCTACAAGAAGATCGAGAGCGACATGATGCACAGGTCCTCGTTCGAGGATAAATTCTCGCAGGTGAAACAGTGGCTGATCGATTCGCAGAACAAGCTCGGCGAGAAACAGAAATTGCTACCGACGCTGCAGGAGAAGAAATTGGCGCTTCATTTGTACAAGGCTGTGGCACAGGACGTGAACGTTCACAAGAACATTCTTCAGCAGCTGCAAGACAGATTGAGCACAGCGCCGGACGACGACGCCAGCGAAACTTTGGCGAACGTGATCGAGGCGTACGAGAAATTGTCCAACGAAGTTGAAGGTAGGATCAACGTGACCGAGAAGTACGTCTCGAATCACGAGGCTTACCTTCAGACGTTCGAGAAGACTAGAGACTGGATCAATACCGTGATCAACGACGGAACGCCGATAATCCAGGATTTCTCCGTCGAACGAGACACCGCACAGAGCAAGATCACCGCTATCGAGAATCTGTTGCAGGAGAGAGCTGTCGGAGAGAGAATTTTAGCCGACTGCAACCAGCAATTGGACATTGTTCTCGAGCAGACATCTCTGCCGGGCGATTCTGCTCTGTTGAATAACTTCAACGCGCATAAGAAGCTGTGGGAGGACTTCCTGAAGAAATGCGTCGCCGCGAGGGACAAATTGAAGCACATGCTGAACGAATGGTCGGAGTTCGAGAAGATCGTGGAAGGTTTGGAGGCTTGGATCAAGCAGATGGAGTCGCAGTTGAAGGATCAGAGCTTGAAGAGCACCGAGGAAGCGAAGAAAGCTCATCTGCAGAAGCTGAAATCCTTGGAGGAGAGTATCATCGCGAAAGGAGCTGAGTTCAACGCCGCTATCGAGAAGAGTCAGAGTATAGAAGCTGAGGCAGATTTGGCCACCAGAGTTTCTAGACAGACCACCAAATATCAGGCTATCAAGAATCAGATAAAGGAAGCTGTGATGAGGTACCATCAGTTCGTGAAGGAGCACAGCACGTTCAACGTGAAGTACGATCAGCTGTTGAAATGGATCACGGATATTCAGTCGGAATTGAAGAAGCACAGCGAGATTGTAGGCGATCTATCGGTGCTTCAGAGTAGACAGAAGTTGATTCGCGATCTGAGTGACACTAGAACTAAGGAGAACGCTAGATTCGAGTCGGTGATAGATCTAGGCGAGAAATTGTACGTTCACACATCTCCCGATGGCAGAGAGATCATCAGGCAACAGCTGAGAAACCTGAGATCCCTTTGGGGTAAATTCTCCGAGGATCTGCAGGGTACTGTGCAGAAATTGGACCAATGTCTAATGCAGTTCGCCGAGTTCTCGTTGTCTCACGAGCAACTGACAGCCTGGCTCCGCGACGTCGAGCGCGCGATGCACCAGCACACGGAGCTGAAGTGTACTTTGGAGGAGAAACGTGCACAGTTGCAGAATCACAAGATCATGCACCAGGAGATCATGTCTCATCAGTCTTTGGTCGAGTCTGTGTGCGACAAAGCTCAGCAGTTGGTGGATCAGACGAAAGACACGTCTCTGAATATTTTCTTGCCGTCTATTAAGCAGCTGTTCCACAATATCGTAGCGAAATCGAAGGATTTGTTGGAGAACCTGGATGATTGCGTCGAGAAACACAACAGATTCAACTTGCAAGTGAAGGGCTTCTCGGATTGGTTGAACAGCGAGAAGGAGAAGCTCGCAGAGTGCAACGACGTGACTGGAGAACGAACAGATATCACTAGACGACTGGCTACTTTGTCTACGTTGAAGGACGACCAGATGCAAGGTGCCGAACAGCTTGGAAAATTGAAGGAACTCAGCGACACTGTGATTAAGAGGACAGCGCCTAAAGGATGGGACGCTATTAACAAAGAGATCACCATTTTGGAGAGCAATCTGCGCCAATATCTGAGTGAAATAGGTACACGGAATTTAGATTACTCTTCTGTTTCTCTGTTTTTTAGTTCTTCGAATCTTGATCCTTGGGACGATGTTTGTTTTACACAGAATTGGTGGAGGACAAGCAGAAGGCGGCTTTGCAGAAATGGCAAGATTTCGAGGATAAATTGGAGGCACACACGAAATGGTTCTCGACGATGGAAGCTGCGTTCAGAGACCAACAGCTGCAACCGACTTTGCAGGACAAGGAAGCTCGTTTGCAGGCATTGAAAGAGAAACGCATGGACGCTATACTGAAGGAAGAATCGAAGATCGACGAGTTTGTCGATAAATCTCACAGTCTGCTCCATGCGAGCGGCGTCGAGCGAATAAAACCATTGATCTCTCAAATTAGCAACAGGTAAAAAAAATAAGAACGACGTGAGCTATTCGCGTGAAGATTCTTTGATCGATTATTTAACCCATTCGCTACGGATAAATTTTTAACTACGGCTGCAAGATATATTATTTTGGCCGTGTCATTTTAACCCTTTGACTGCTGCCCACTCAAAAGTAAAATGGTCGCTGTGTGCGGTGAAGTTGTAGCATTTAAGATTTCGCATTCGATTTAGCATTCTGACCTATCTTTCTTAATTTCTTAGAAATTTAAAACAGAGAATTTTAAATATAATATTAGTGTGGTCGATTGACCGACTGCAGTCAAAGGGTTAATACTCGGTTTATCAAGTGCGGTGGAAATGCGTAAAGAACAAAATTAAGTATTAAATTTGAAGCGCACCAAAGGGTACCGACGGTATAGTGCGAGCAAATTTCCAAACCGCCGATATTAACAAAAATTGTTAATCATTCCTGCGTGATAATTTCAGATACCAGCTCTTACACGTGCTGAGCAAAGAGGTAGTGACAAGATGCGAGAGCATCGTCGACGATCATCGTGCTTACGAGGAGAAACTGAACGTGGTTGGTGCCTGGTTGACTCAGTTGGAGCAATGTTTGGCCAGTCTGAAGAAAGACGAGACCAGCGGTAACCTCGAGGAGAAAGTTTCTCGCCTGCAGATACTGTTAACCGAGAAGGAACAGGGTGAGCATAAATTGGCAAGCCTAACGTCCTTCGGGGAAAGAATTCTCGCGGACACGTCGGCTCAAGGAAGAGAGCTGATCCGACACGAACTGAGACAAGCCAGAGAAAGATGGGACAAGCTTGTAGAAGGCATAGCCGAGCAACAGAAGAAGCAAGACGCACAATCGTTACAGTGGTCCAATTATCAAGAGTCTCTGCAACAGATTCTAGCCTGGTTGGACACTATGGAGAGATCTGTGAAACAGGATTCCTCGATTACGTGGTCTTCTCTTCAGGAAATTAAGTCGAAGTTGCTCAAGTGCAAGGTACTCTCCTACTCTAATTTATCGAACACAATTCTGCTGAAATTAGAGTGACATTTTTTTAGCTTTATCTCAAATTTCTCTCGTTACATACATCGTTCAAAGTAAGAGTAACCTCGCCCGATTCTCGCCCGTTCTGTGCATAGACAGAGAGCGTAGCAGGGGGTAAGACGGAGAAAAACGTAGACGGTTAAGTGGGGGGAGGTTTGGACGTTCCAGCCCTGCCTTAGGCATGTCCCACGCGCGAAACGAGGTTACTCTTATTTTGAACGACGTATAGCATGGCAAATTTGGTAATCTTTTCTTGTTTTTTTTGTACAGGCCGAAGTTAGAGTGAAATTTTTTCCTCGTTCAGCTTCATCTCAGATTTCTCTCGTTCTTAGCGTTGGAAATATAGTAATATTTTCTTTTTACACAGGCGATGCATCAAGAAATCTTGCCGTACAAACGTATCATCGAGGGAGTGTCAGAGAAAGCAAACGCGTTGACGTACACGGCACAAGCTCCGTCAGACGCGCAACAAAAAGCCGCCTCGGTGTCTGAACGATACGAGGACCTGGTGGAAATGTCGCAGAAGAATATAGCGAACTTGGAGACGCTATTGGACACGTTCCAACAATTCCACGATCTTCAGAAATCCTACCAGGACTATCAGAAACAGCAATGGGAACATTTGGCTAACTACAGCGACTACTCAGGCAACAAAGCGGCTCTTCAGGCTCAGTTGACTAAAATCGTGGAGCTGCAGGACGCACAGAGCGAAGGAGAATTGAAATTGAACATTCTCAGTGAACACGTGGCGCAGAGTGCACATAATTTGTCACCGAGATTACTGGAGAGCATGGAAAGAGATTTGTCTACTTTGAGGTGAGAATTGCAGCGATCTTACGTACCCAAAATTAAATGCAAATCCGTAAAATCTCGAATATTCTAATATGCTGTCGGATGCATGCGTGCGTGTGTGACGTGAAAAAGAGAGGAAAAACGACTGTTTCATGTTGCTAAACTGATCGCGAGATCTATAAACTCGATGATAAACTTTTCTTTGCAATATCCAACGACAGATTCGAGCACAAAAAGTTCGCCACAGCAGTGAACGACATTATTCGATGTATCGAGGAGAGAATTCAGCAATGGATCGAGTACGAGAACTCTTTGGAACGTCTGTTAACCTGGCTGGCTGACGCGGAGTCTTCTCTGAAGAATTACTCCTTAAAAAACACTCTGGACGAAAAGCAAGAGCAACTCGAGAAATATCAGGTGAAAAGTTTATCCAGTTTCTTCGTCGCAATATCTATTAATCGTTCTATCTAGCCACATCGTATAGTCTAGACAAGTTACAACCACATGTGCACCCTTATTTTTTCAAACGATTCACTGATTTTTATGCAAAGTCACACCAGGTGTACGATCATTTTTTCGCCCCCTTTTTCGTTTTTCTTTTTTTTTTTCTCGTACACCAAGACTGTAAATGACGTTGATACGCGACGTGATTAACGGTTTCGATGTTGTCGAAAAGAAGAGGAAAAGATACGAGAGAGATGAAGTGGTGGTATCTGCGAGTTCAGGCAATTGTATTTTGGAAAACTTCCTTAGGCACTGCAACAAAAAGCCTTGTCGTGGGACACGGAAGTGACAGAACTGGTGGCCCTCGGAGACCACCTGGACCAAGTAAGAGAAACAACGTGAAAATTTATTCGAACAGGATTGTGAACGCTTTTTTGCAACGATCTCTCGTTACTACTTATGTTCCCATCTATTCTGTATTCTTATTCTATCGTCTTTCTCTTCCGAGTGATTTCTATTCGAGCACATTTTCTACGCTGTCGAACAACCACCGAATCGCTGAATTTCCAGATCAACCGATCGGTGTAGACGTACGAATATTGGAAATTTTAATTAATCGTCCTTCGATTGCTTCTTCTCTACGCGTGACGGTCCACAGACACGTTTTTCGGCACACGAAAGCGCCATAATTTAGACACTATACGACCTGGATTAACCCTAGTGCGTTCTTCGTTTCGACTGTACACTTAAGACTTTTGGGTCAAAAAGGACCTAAGACCTTATGTGCAATCATTTTTGTTTCCAACGCGAGTAAACGTTTAAAATAATGATAAGGAACGTAAACTTGATAACAGCAACAATGACTAAAAGTATAAAAAGGCGGTGGGTCAAAAAAGACCCGAAGACCGCTCTAGGGTTAAGGAAGAAATTGTAAAATCGGAGGAACATTTCACAAGTCCAGTCTCTTTTTATACGGTTCCACAGAAAATTGGAGAAAAAGAGACATAGTTTACTCGTTGTCAGTCCATCGTTGTCAGTGTCATAAGCACAACGACACTCTTCGAATTAAATTCGTTCGAGTCGCGAGTTCGAGTGTCTTCCACCCCGAATTTGCATAAATTCGCGCACAGCACAACTTTGAAACCGAATTAAAAAGATACGCGTAAAAAGAGACTCGAGTGCAAAAGTAAAATTTATTGAAAAAATGTACAAGAATCTCTTTGACGCGATATTTGCACATTCGCGTGTCTCGGGGAACGAAAAAATTGGCGTCAATCTTATTTTCGACCGATTTACGCGATCATCTTCGCGACGATCTACGACAAATTTCAAAAGCTGTTGCTTGACGCGATCTCTCTATCTTTCTGTCGAGTTCTGACTCACACAGACACAGTTTTCACACACTCAAACGTCTGTTTCGTATTCTCTAATTCAACATCTTTCATCTTTCTCTGTATACATCTCTGTTGTTGTCTTTTTGTTTTTGGATTTTTTTTACTCTCTTTCCTTTTCTTCGCTACTTTTTTTGGGTTTTTTCTTCCTTTTTTTTTTTGTGGTTTCTCTACACTTGGACAATTATTCAGTGTAATTTCAAATCGAAGACATTCGAAGTTACAATTCGTAAGTTACATTCTCACGATTCTCCTGAGATTTCTTAATCGTACTACCATTTAACACACGATGATTCTTGTTTCTTGTATTTTTCTTTTTTTCAAATGCATGCAGACGTGTTGTTTCCAGCACGCTTTTGTGCTTTTAGCGATTGGACTAGGGATATATCGATGCACACCGGCAAGGTATCGATGCTTTTGCTCCCGTTGCTTGTATCGAGTGAGAAAGTGTTTGCGAGAATAATTAAAAATTACAACGACATTAAGTAAAACATTGGAATACCGTAACGTAGATAGAAAAAGATTCACAAACTTTGGGGTATTTTTTACTTTTTTCTTTATCTAACATTGAATTAAAGGATAAGTTCACAAATTCTTGTGAATGCAACTGTATGCAAATGAACCGTGTTCAGAACTGGAAAAGAATTTTGCTTTCATCTTTCACGTGGAACGTCGATACTCGTATCGCCAGCAGGTATCGATACCAAAAGTATACCTAATATCGAGTATACACACTCGTATTTACCTGTATCGATTCATCCCTAGATGGGACTGACAAGATTTGGTATTACAGACACGTTTACCTTTCATTTCTTCCTTTTGAAACCTGAAACCGTAATAATTGCAATAATTTCAACTTAACGAATTTTTCATTGCTCGCCTCGTTCTCGAACACTTCGTTTAACTAATTAAGTCCCATCACTGGTGTACCCAGCAAGCATGAAAAGGGCTACTCTTTTCATTTGAATTCGCATTAACCACCTATCCACTTACACGCATAATGCACAGAGAAATATTGTTACACGTGTGTATATACCATGTGAACTCGATGATTCGAAGGTATTTTCAGAGGGACAGAAAACTACCTAAACAGTGTGTGACAGTTTGACCAAGTCTGGCACTACGATGAAATGAAAGAAAAGCAAAAGAAATCTAAGTGATATTTTGTCCTATCGACGTAGCAGAATATTCTCAACGTTTTTTCTTTCTCTCTCCTCAGATTTTGAATCTGCGACAATATGAAGCGGAGTTCGAGAAGATGAACGACGAATACTCGGAGCTGATGCAGATCAGCGGAGAAACGAGATTCTCGGGCAGTGTACAACAGATAACCTCCCGTTTCAAGTCTATCCAGGCGACTGCTACGGTAAAATAGCGAAATTTCACTGTAATCCTATACATTGTATACGCAACTTTAATTCTTTCATACGACACGGATGCTCCGTCTATGCTATTTTCGATCGCATAGCTCTGTTTTCTAAAGTCTGTAAGATCGGAAAGAATTTTCGCTCGTTTTACTGTGCATTCTTCACGCGACTCGATCGAGAAAACGAGCATTATCCCTTTAGTAATCGGCCAAAATTCATTTTCAACACTATAGCCCCACTCTGTCACCTTGAAAATTCCTATTGCTCGATAAATTACAGGAACTGGTGAAAAAATGCGAACAAGCAGTGGCAGACCACGCGGCCTACCTAGAACGCTACAAGCAATGCTCGGAATGGTTGGCGAACACACGAGCCACCTATCAATCCATCAAAGACGACCTAAGCGGCACGCGCAAAGACCTAACATCGAACGTAGCCACGTTGAAAGATCTTCTAGCCCGTCAATCATCGGCGACACTCTTGCTAAACAACACAGTGGAGGCTGGTGAACGTCTGTACTCGACAACCGGCACAGAAGGCAGAGAAATCGTCCGCCAGCAGCTGCTAGATCTTCAACAAGCCTTCGAAGAATTGTACGACAGCGTAGCATCGACCGAACGCGAACTACAATCGAAGATCTCCCGATGGTCCGGCTTCGACGAGTCGAACGAGGCGTTCGACAAATGGCTGAGAACCGTAGAGACACAGCTGAAACCTGAAATCGAGTTGAAGACCACGCTGGACGAGAAACGAGCTCAGTTACAGATCTACCGTACGTTCTTGCACGACGTTCAGTCGCACCAGCAAGATTTGCTCGATCTTCGCGACAAGGCTGACAATTTACCAGATTCCACGGAGAAGGTGAATCAGACGCTGAGAAAACTGAACGAGAGACACGCTACTGTGCTGAAGAGAGCAGCCGCGTTCGTTGAAAGGTACGAGGGCATAGTGAGCGATCATCAACAGTACAGCAAAGCTGTCCTGGACACTCACGAGTGGTTGGACGCTACTCACAACGCTGTTATCCTATGGGGAGACACT